ATACCAATTCAATATCTTAGATAGTCATAGTTTGGTAGATAAGTATTTTTACTGTTTGATGATTGAATGTGAGATGGAAATTTCAACCATGGCTGGACTCGGATGGACGACCACCGGATTTCCTGCTCTACCGACTTGGCTACCAGGTTGGACTGCTGACCAAGGGTTTCGCCTGACTACCATGTGAATTCCTGACTGGCTACTACCACTTGATCGTATTCACATTGCCTGCCTGGTCATCACTTCTCATCTCAATCGAAATCTAACTGAATCAGAGAAGGAGACCATCATATTGATTATCATTTGACTATGTGAGATAGTCATAGTTTGCCAGACTTGTATTTATACTGGGTGATGATTGAAGGTGAAATGAAAGTTTTAACCGCGGCAAGATTAGAATCAGTGACCACCAAATTTCCTACTCAATGCTCTATCAACCAAGCTAAGAGGTTCACGGCAACATGTACTCATAATATGAAAAATGTTAATCAGCATAAACATTTTTCAGATAAATCCCAAAAATAGTTCACAAGGTTCACCTGAATAATACAAGCTTATTCTGTTTGGTACACGAAAGTGATATCAAAACTCTTCTCTAGTTTTTTTACTAATTAATTGGAAAAGATGCTTTCAGAAAATAAAACATTTGCAAAGACTACAGACACCTTAGTTAACTTTTTGGTTTGTAGTATCAGCAACACTCAGTACTATGATTATAAGAACAATGTAGGATTACGTGAACAGTGAACGGAAAAGTATTTAAATCGGTCAAACCGTTGGGACAGTTTAATTGACTGACATTGTTTGAAGGTATTTCATACCGTATGCTTAATGGATTTTCAGTGGTTGGAATAAGTAAATTTAATACATTTAGATGAATCATCATAAATCAGTTTCACCAGTGTCTTATCTTCATCTAAGTATGTAATGAAAGTGACTGACTACATCCTGATTTGTATTCTCAATCTTTGCTTTTGTTTTCTACAGATTACAGCCTCACTTTTATTTCTTTTCTCTCTTATGATTAACTTTTATTAGATGTTCCAATGGGAAGTCAGATAACTGAGAAATGATGAATTCCCTTGATGATCTCTGTATGCAGTTTAATTAGCTTTGCATTACAAACTCTCACTCATGATGAATCCAAATTGCATCATATAAGTAGTAATTCATGCCTTATTTAACTGTTTCATCCATAAATTATCACAAGATGTAGACAGATTACAAAGAGAAGGCTTATTCGATTGAAAGAAACCAGCTAATTGATACTTTAATACCCTTTTGGTGATTCAGTCTTCTCTATGAGTGGATTAATTTATTCTTCAGTCAAATGACTGCCCAAAACACCATACAAGAGGGTACCAAACAAGTAGTATACAATGATGATAAACACTGACAGTTTTCTGTAAAGTAGAAAAACCAATTAGCATATTTATCCAAATAAATAGTATAAAAATTTACTCAGAAATTTTCAACTCGTTTTTTACTAAAGATAATGAACCACACCTATTGTATGAAGGTTATCAAAACAACCTTGCTATCCCCTCTTTGATAGGTGGAATTGAATTCGAACCTATAACTCATCGATTGGTAATCAGATACCCAAACCAATGAGCCATAGCCCCCCTAGCAACATCTAACACTATTTATTTTCAAATGAAATGACTTGAAATACTTTTGGTACTCAATTTGTTAAAATCTATTTAGGAAATCCTACATATAATAATAATAATAATAATAATAATAATAATAATAATAATAGCCTTTTAATTCACATAATGATAGAAAGTATACTTACTTTATTATAGGATATTGGATCAAAAATTTCGTTAATTTCATTCGGATAATAAACAGGTTGAATTACTGGACGTGAAGTTGTTAATGAATCACTGATCAACACCTTCTGTATATCATCCAGGAGAAACTGTTCATCCTATATAATTTAATAGAAATTTTACAAATATACAATTTGTTGGTAAGTTGAAATAGACATTTGTAATAAGGCGAAAGTATAAAATATTTCCTGGTGAAGAGATAAGCAAGTGTCATGTCAAACCAGTACCGAAACGAAGTGTTTTATGAGAAGGAAATAGAAAACTGTATCATGAGTTGAGAGGAAAAGGTATATTTAAGCTGTTAACTTTTTCCTATCTAGTAATATATCGAGACATCCGCAAAGAAGTCCATCTGTCAATAAGTGTTGACCGATTCCATCCAGTATACTGACGGGAGACTACAAATATCAACCAATAACTAATTTGTGTTGTCTAGAAGGGAGTTCTTAAGCCTCAGTGACCTAATGGTTAACGCTGTAGCATCTGAATCGATGGGTAAAGGGTTCGAGTCTCAGTGAGATGGAGGCTGACCCGCCCACTGCTAGTCTTCAAGCTGACTACTTCGTTATATCGTTCATTTGGCTTTATATTTGCTGAAAATCTGTTTCGATATTCAAATCACTCAGTATCATTATTTTCTCAGAAGCGAAGTAGCTGATTTCAGCCTAGTTATCAAGTTGTTTATTGTATGTATGCAAACAGACTGTATAGGCGCTTTGTTTGTACTCTTTTATCCTGTATCTTATAATTCATTTTTCATCCTAGACGCAAAAACATGAAAGTGATTTTGATTTTATGCAATTTAGAATATAATAAAGTACACATCAAATCTGTTAACATTATCATTCTTCTGAAAAACACTTTTCGGTTGATAAACACATTAAAGCACTCAGATTTCATAGGGATAGATTATTTACAGGAGAAAATCTTATTACTTTTTCCAAATTAAATAGCATATCATTTACATCAATTTGAAACATTTAAAGTCTGTATAAAGTATTTAACTATTTGACTAAACTTAATTGAATCAACGTTTTCAACAAACTACAGATATTCATCAACAACTGACACATACACTGGCTCCTCAATGAAGATCACATGGCCAGAATAAAAAGAATATACAACAAGGAATTCATTCTGGCTGACAACGAACCAACCAGCAACCTTTCACTCAACAAATATGCACTGGAAGGAAGTGTAAATGGATTGGACTGGGCATAAACTGAGAAGGCCGATTGGGGACATCACGCGTCAGGCCAGTCCGTCGAGTTGAACCCAGATTGGAATGGATGAGTTGGGCATCTGAGGTGAGAGTGGGATGCGGTGGATTGTGTGAGGAAGAAATGAGAGCTTTTGGGCTACGGTGGGGCCAGGTTCAAAAGATTTGAGAGAAGAGAGTGGAATGGAGACGTGTTACTGAAGCTGTATGTTCCACTAGAAACACAAGGGATAAATAATAATAATAATAATATAAATAAACTTTATTTTTGATAGACACTGATAACATACCATTCCCCATTCTGGATGAACATGATCAACTCCAATGTACTCAGCAAAACTGGCAAAACCTTCATTCAACCATAGATCATCCCACCATTTTAAAGTCACTAAATTTCCAAACCACTAGAGATATAAACATAAAAATTGATTATATCAATAGATATTGAAGTGAAATTTCAGTTTTATAATAAAAAAGTTTATAAATTAACTTTCTGTTTATCTAACCTTGCTTAAATCTTGATCAAAACATTGTCTGTGTATCAGATAAAAGTTCACTATTTATTTCAGTTCATAGTTGTTGTTGTTGTTGTTGTCTTTTTTAGCTATAATCTAATTAACTGAATTCTCTTGTTTACTTAAAACATGAGTAAAGTTGATTATGAATTGTTTATAGAATAATTGGTAATTATTTGGAAGATATTAGTTCTTCTTCTGTGTTTTTCAGACCAATTGGGGTATGATTTTAACGTTGAGAGCATCGCGCGTCAGGCCAATCCGTCGAGTGGAACCCAGATTGGAATGGATGAGTATGGCGTCTGAGGTGAGGGTGGGATGGAGGGGATTGTGTGAGGAAGAAATGAGAGTTTGTGGGCAGTCATGGCGTCAGGTTCAAAAGATTTGAGAGAAGAGAGTGGAATGGAGACGTGGTATTGAAGCCATATGTTCCACTAGGAAGCCAAGGGACAAATAATGATAATAATTTCATAAAATATTAATTTGGGAAAATATAACACGGAAAATGTTTTATGGAAGTTCTATTTGAGTTGTGTTTTAGATAAAAAAGTATCAATCCAGTTATCAAAACGCATCCGATTGTAATAGACACTTAAATATTGATTATGCAGTTATGAGTTACCTCAGTTATTTAGCTTTCAGCTACAGGATAGTTAGATACAAATGACAGAAAGAAAATCCTTCTAATCCAATAATGTTTTCGCTTACATTTCCCAGACTGAATACTGTTTTCTTCTAATAGTTACCTCAGCAACTTATATTGAATTTTTACCGAAGAAAAAAATGCATTAAAATAACGGTCAAAAAACAACTGAATCCCATTTATTACTGGTTATTTCTTACCTGATGAGCAATTTCATGTGAAATCACAGTTGCCACCTTTTGTTGTGTTGCTGCTGTGCCATAGTTTGGATCCCATAACATTGTCGCCTCTCGATATATCATAAGACCCCAATTTTCCATTGCACCAGCAGCAAAATCTGGTACAGCAACCATATCTGAGATTTTAAAGAGAAGGTATAATATAATTAACCAAGAATACTTTTTTTGTGTGTAAAGAAGTCAAGAATATTTCTTGCACTTTGACGTATAACTGTTTTATTCATTTTTGTACAGTATATGATCCGGTTTAATAACAGAATATGATGAAGCGTTTCAGAATTAGACGGATACAAACCGCCTAAATACTTAAAAATGTTATTTGAATAAATTATAAAACAGGTTATCCATTTTTCCTAAGCCAAACGATGATAGAACTTATCTAGCAGATTTATGAATTGTAGAGATGGCAAAGAGATTGTTTGTAATGGATGTGCTTAAAGTACGACGCCATAGATCTCAGATTCTCGACGTTGATTGGATAGAATGGGTTGATCATTATTAGCATATAGATTACTGAGTAGATGCTTTCATATTGCAGACAGCTTTAAATTTTCTACCACGTTATCAGGCTGTACCCACTGTACAGGTAACGAGTAGTGGAAATCGACATTCCAGTTTGTAACGCTTCAGTATATAATGTAATGTTAGAAAAGTGTCGAACAAGTGTCACAGGTCCCACTGCTAGTCAATATCCACCATTATTTGTAGACAAGATGATTTTGTCACCTTTTTGCCAAACTACACCTGATACAATAAATAATTGAAATGTCAATTGTTTGAAAGCGTTGTCACAAGCATGATAGCAAGCTGTGACTTGCCATATTATAGAATGGCAGGCAACTCGATCTCTACCTCAACTTTATTGACTTTGAAAAGGCCGTCGACAGCGTCAACCGAGGAGTAATTTCCCTTGCAGCTGCTTCAAAACTACGGAGTGTCACTAGTCTTTATCAACCTCACTGAACAGCAGCCATTTGAAGATGCCACATTCGAAGTGATTGATAATGGGATGCTCAGTGACTCTTTTGAAGTGAAGACAAGTGTAAGACAAGGCCGCCTACTGTCATCACGGATGATCTTTATCATTGTGGTCGACTGGATCATGCAGCAAACCGTGAGGAGCGAGAGGATGGGCATGCGCTGGCCAGACCAATGTAAAGACCAGAGAAGAAGATTTCAATTTCACCGCCGATGATGTTTTACGTCTAATGTCTTGTCGCGGAAACTCGAAGATCTACAGACAAAAACTAACAAGTTGACAGAAGAGGCAACGCAGCGAGGAAGGGACTTCAAGTGGAGGTAGAGAAGACGAAGTTCATGAAGATACCCAGTCAACAACAGCATCAACAACAGGAGGCACCAATCACCAATAACAGGACAAATCTGAAGGAAGTAGTCTATTTCACTTACCTAGACAAGCCAGCATCGTTTCAACAACAGGTGGTGGTACAGACAAGCATGTCAAAACCAGGATTCGAAAGACAGCAAGACAGGCTTTCACCAATCTGAAATCAGTATGGAGGTCTACTGCACTCAGCATAAAGCGTGGACAGGATCCGGATTTGTGACACCAATATCAGTCAATTCAGTGCTTCCATGTGATGGTTCAGAAACGTGGTGTGTTACGTAAAGCACTTCCAACAAACTACACACATTCATGAACAACTGCCACGTACGCTGGCTCCTCACTGAAGATCACATGGCCAGAATAAAAAGAATAAACAACAAGGAATTCACTCTGGCTGGTAACGAAGCAACCGAGAAGCTATCGTTCAACAAGTATGCACTGGAAGGAAGTGTGGATGGGTTGGACTGGGCATACACTGAGAAGGCCGATTGGGGACATGACGCGTCAGGTGAGGCCGTGTAATGGAGCCTCGATGGGAATGGATGAGTTGGGCGTCTGAGGTGAGAGTGACATGGAGGGGATTGTGTGAGGAAGAAATGAGAGTTTGTGGGCAGTCATGGCGTCAGGTTCAAAAGATTTGAGAGAAGAGGGTGGAATGGAGACGTGTTACTGAAGCTGTATGTTCCACTAGGAACCCAAGGTGAATATAAATAACGTTTACTTATTTGTTTTCCACATATCAGTTTTCTACTTCATCTCAAAAGGTAGAATGCTTAACCTCATATAGTTTGTGTATGTCACAGTGAAAAGTAGATTATCAATCCAGTAAACTTTAAAGTTAGAAAGAATAAGATACTTGTTGGTTTTTGAATAAAAATCTAATTCATTGTATTTAGAACTATGTAAATGTATTAAACATGTAACATTAGTAACAATAGTAACTTAACAAAAAAACGCGCGATCCATGTTTGTGTCATATCAGTCGGATACATAAGAATGAACTATCATCACTGACCCAAAACAGGAAATTTCTATAGTTATGAAATATTAGAATAAATAAACATGTGAAGTTTATACTCACCTGTTTTTTTGAGTGGATAAGATAATTCAAAGTAATCTTCAAAAAAGCCAATAATTTGTTTTCCTATCTCCATTGCATATCTAGCTGAATGAATTTTATCTGGTCTTGCCCAAACGGTGAACTGATTGATAATTGATAGAAAAAGTAAGAAAATTTGTTCATTAAAAATTCATTATATAACGTGTATTTTTACCTTATAAAAAATAAATAAATAAATAAATATTTTATATTATTCTTCTTCTCAACATTTCGATCTTACTGGGAAGACTCTTTCCTTAAAGAGTATAAATCGAAATCAATAAAGTTGTTGTTGTTGTTCAATGCTCACTGCAAAGATGTATACAAAGTTGCTGATTAGACTTTGACTTCTTGATTCTCTTCACTAGGTCACTTACACAATGGAACTTCTCGTTGAAAATATCATCTGAGCAGATAACCATAGCGTGATGGATTTAATGTTTCACCGAATTCCACTTATACTGTGAAAGCATAAAACTCATAGACGGCATATACTGAATAACTGATATTGGATTCCGGTAAATATTTTTTAGTATTTCCCAGTTAGAATAAGCAGTGTAGTGTAAGTGTATCAGAAATCACGCTGAGCTTACTGAGACCACCTGGAATCGGTGTAGCTCATGAACCAACAAATTCCCTCAATAAACACTATTATGCAGACCAAAGGATACAACAACCAAACAAGATAAACCGAATATCATTTACAAGATCAACCGCAATAACTCTAGTCAACACTACATTGGACAAAGTGGCTGCCCTCTTCACCTTCATCTACATGAAAAACAATCGCCTATTAAACACCATGTCATTTCATCACTCATTTCAATACACGTGGATGACTATGGACATAGATTGGATTTTGACAATATAGAAATCTTGGACAGAGGAAACAAGGAATATCAAAGAATTCCAAGAAGCTTAGCATTCAGGTCAATAAGCCAGTCAGTAATCAATAGATGTATAGACATAGACCCAATCTATCAACCAGTAAGAAAAGTGATGAATGACAGAGAGGTCATAGGTGAAGCATAGGGACAGCCAACAGGAAAGTCTATAGAATGAATGACACAACAGTCGTAGGAAACAACCAATCAGAGACCACATTGTCATGGCAAGCTACTAAATCACTCACGGAGAGATACTGACAGCTCACTTCATACTGTAGTTAGTGCTGATGATGTCGTTTCGCAAGACGATGAAAGCTTCACGATTAAACAACCGAGCTCAAAGTACGCAATGTAACCAGGACCATACACCTGACATACAAATATTCTCCATTATTTCAAGTAGGAAAGTGCTTTTCTGTCAGACTATATGGTTTCTCACTTTCGTGATCATTCTAGCAACAGACTCAAATTGCTTAATAACTATAATTACAGCATACGGGCAAATTACAAAACAATTTCTGCACATAAATCGATATATTGAGGAAGTACATGCAACTATATGAAAAGCATAATCATTAGACAGAAACCTTATAAATTCATTACAGTTTGGTGATAATTTTTTACCTTAATTATTTTTAGAATCTTCAGTAGTACTGTTCTAATGTCAGCTCATTATTTACAAGAGCAGTGGTTGTAAACTAGTAGAATTGCTTTCATTTTGCTTGTTTTCAATTGGTTTTAGTCGCCTATCTTTCTGACTTTTTTTAATCTTTATTCACACTATATGTAATAAGCAGCCTACTTGAACCTTGATCTAACATATTTATTCATTGAACATCTTTCATCAAATTCCTTCCTTTCAATTTGTTTTAATCGCTTAATTATGTCCTTTGAACGTATCATGTACTCTAACACATTTTTAAACTGTTCTCAAGTCAATAACAAACCAGGGTGAAAAAGATTACTTTATATGGAAATGGACTTTTCAGTGCACATTAGTACATTGTATTTCTATCCATCAGATGGTTAGCTTAAGTTGTAGATTTGTATACAATTTAATAAATGGACCACTATCACCAAAATTAAGTTTGTATTTCTGTTGATTCATCATTATGAACCGTATGCTTATCCAGAACCAGGTAGCTATATCATAGTTATTGCCTTGAATACTGTTATTATTAACATTATGCAGATGTAATAACCATTTTGTTGTTCTGGAAGTGAATTTGTTGAAAAATTATATTCTGAGAATTCCATATTGTCATACTTATTGTTTAGAATAAAGCGATTATTATTATTATTATCATTATTAAAAGTATAGAAGTCAAAAATCGACTGAAAGTAAAACTCTGTAGAAAAAAAACCTTCAACAAATAAATATTCTATTCTCATTCACTTTGACTTACATTTCTTCCTTTAGAGTCGATTCCCGAATTGATGCAAACTGTGAGACTACAAATCCTAACAAATAAGTTGACATATTGACACTAGGTTCATATACATCCATATACCAATTGCCATAAAGTACTTCAGTCCTCTCTAAGGCCATATTTGAAAGTGAATGATATTCTTTTTGACGTATAAGACTAACCTGAAAAATAATAAATAAATTGATCAAAAACTAAAAAAGATGTGCCAGAAAGTAATTAAAAGTTAATCATCAACTGGAAGAGTATTTTTAACTGTTTCCTTCAGTTATCGTTGCCTCACTGCATAAGCACATAATAATGTTTTGATTGATTACAGGAGAGGAAGAGGCTCAGCATCTTAGTGCACAGAAGT